TCAGCTCGTCCCTTTAATAAGAGAATTAAATTTTATGAGCTTCCCTCAGCTCGTCCCTTTAGCGAGGGAATTAGGTTTTATAAGCTTCACACAGCTTGTCCCTTTAGTAAGGGAATTAGATTTTTGTCAAGTTTCGGGAATGCCAAGTCCTACTAAGCTAAGCATGCTTGATGATTACTCTTTTGCCCCTTTTAATAAGGGAAGTAGATTTGCTCGAGCGTTGTGAGCTCACCCTTTAATAAGGGGTAGTGAACCCTCCGTCTCTTTATGGAGGGAAGAAGATGAAGTTGACCCTTCATTCCTTTATGGGAGAAAAAGGTGTAGTCTGAAGGAGGGTGACCCATTTAATACGAGAGGTAGTCATCTCGTCTCTCTAGTAAATGAAAGAAGATTTAATTATCTCACCCTTCTGTGTAAAAAAAGTAATCGGTTTCTTGTCCCTTTAATGAGGGAAGAATGTGTTGTTGGCCCTTGGTTCCTTTAATGAGAAAAACATATTACTATGAGCTTAATATTACCACATAGGTAGGTAACTAAAAACGTAATATTTTATTGCGTAGAAATTGAGGGTCATCCATCTCAATGGTGATGGTGACCTTATTGAAAAATAAAATAACACGTGAAATGATGAACTAAGATGCCCCCAGTCTTTATTTTGAATGACTCGATAAGGCTAATTCCAGCTATGAGACAATTGTTAGTCGGTATACTTATCTGAGTCCTCCTCACTATATGTCTTATCGTTTTGGCTGAAGAATGATCTTTAACCGCTTTCATGGCATCTTCAGCGTTCATGTGTTTCTGCGCTCTGATCAACAACTATGCCATGCTGGTGTGAGGTTCTTTGGATAAAGCGAACAAGAGTCTGGAGGTTTGGAGTCCTCCTATGAAAGCGGTTAAAGCAACCTTGTCGTCCACCTCTTTTGCCTGTAACATCTCTGTGTTGAATCAGGTGATGTATTCCCGGATCGACTCACCATTCGGTTGGTTCACGGTAAGCAGGTAGGTGGCCAGCCTCCTATGCCTTTAACTTGCAATGAAGTGGCTCAAAAATTGCTTACTCAGTTCTTCGAAGGTGTTGATGGTTCCTGGCTTCAGCTTGTTAAACCAAACCTTTGTCAATTCCTTAAGTGAAGTGGGAAAAGCTCGGCACATGATTGCATCTGACACGGCGTGCAAATGCATAAGAGCTTGAAAGGTCTCCAGGTGATCGAGGGGATTTTTGATCCCATCGAAACTTTCGAACGAGGGGATCCTGAACTTGCTAGGCAGGGGGCATTTCATAACAACGGGGCTGAATTATAGGTTGGTCCTCTGTACCAGGTCATCTATTGTAACACCCCCACATTTTCCACGCATAAGTTGATCAGGCTTATACACGAAAAACGAGGGATATCAAAAACAATTGGCAATATACAAGCATGGAATACAAAATGATGGAAATAAAAGAATTTAGACAGGAAAGAAACATTAAATAATACAACATCCATCCATCCTTTATTTAAATACAGTCCTCCATTACAACTTGGAAATCCTATGTCAAGGATCCCTAAATATAAACCTGAGAGTTCGACGTCAAAAGTAAATAAAAACCGAAACTGAAGTAATACGTAAAACTTCTACCCTGAACTGGATCGTAAGAGTAGATGAGTTCGGATGGTGGTCCCACACTGCTAACCTCAACCTTGGAACGGGTACTAACCGTATCCTGAAATAACAACAATGGTGGGTCAACCCCACAAGCAAGTCCTCTCTACTATGACCCAAATCAGAGAATCAAATAAATTAATCATTATGAATCGGTTGAGTACTATATCTGTATACATCCTAAGGGAACTATCCCATGTATAACATGACCTCAACCAGAATAGACGGTGATCACTTAGACTCACACTAGGTGGTTAAGTGTCGTCTTTCCCCACCCGGGAAATCAGCTATTATACATGGTGCACGGTACTGACAACACAGACTATAAAGAACTACACAGTGATAACACCTCGCAAAGTACTGATGAATATACTGAGCATATAAGTTAGGCAACACATGCCAGCAATATTAATAAATATACTGAGTATGTTAATTAGGCAACACATGCCAATAATATTAAACCACATACCCCGACAGCCACACATCTGTCTATCGCAACTAATGCATAAGGTATAAATGAGTCTAAACTTATTAGCCAGCTCACATGGTTCTATATGGCAACACATCCATATAATATAAATGCGACATAATTTAAACAGTCCATTTATTTCCTGAAATGCACACAGCATAATAATCATGGTTGATATATGATTAACAGTATAAATATCCCATAATATATATTGGATAATTTATATGACTAAAACATGGCATTATTTAATTTAACAGTATTGTTTGATTCCATTTAGTAAGATATTAACACTATTTATATTTAACAATGTCATTAAATAAATCACATTAATATCCGTACCGTAAACGAGCCAATAGATGCTTAGAAGAGATTAATTGGCCATAAGAATAATTAACGGGTATTAAAATAATAATTTCGTGACCCGTTAAACCCGTAAATACCAACACAGTACCTAAAAATTCACGTTTAAGGTTCTGGAATTTACAAAACAGGCCCTAGGGGTATTCTGGTAATTTTCAGCAGCTGACCGGGCCCTTCACGCGCCCCCACGCGCCGCCCTAAGCTTCCCCACGCGCAGCCCTATGTTTTCCACTCTCTCACGCGCTCACACGCGCGTCTGGCATCAGCCACGCGCGCGCACGCGCTCCCACGCGCGTCTGGAGAGTTCCACGCGCGCGTTGATGGCTTCCTGCTGACGTGGCGTCCTCCGGTTGGTTGGCTGCATCACCTTTCCTACATGCGCGCCACACCGGATCAATCCACCTATGCTCCTTTCATCCTACGGCTGATGATTAGCGCGCACCATCATATGGTGTCCCGTGCTACACCGAATCAATCTAAGGATTCACAACCCATCTAACGGCTGCTGATCCATGCGCATGCTTGTTACAATACACCGCAACACACCAGATAACTCCGATCACCTTCCTCACTGCCGGTGGCCGGAAAACTCGCCGGAGTCTCGCCGGAAATTACAGAAAATGCCTGGAAAATTCCTAAAAATTCTAAAAAAATCCCTAATGCCTTAAGGAAATATTTTTAGATATTTTGAACATCATAGGATAATAACTAATTATATACCATCCTAAATAATTAAAAATTCATTAATTTAATAAACTAAAAAAAAATCATTTAATAAAATTTAAGCATGCTCTCAATGCCCCATCATAATCTAAATAATTTAAACAATTAATTTATGGATTCAAAGGGGAAAAATAGATAATAACTTGCCTTTTTGGATTTAAAATAAATCCGCCGGTTGCGCGTAGTCGGGTAAATTCCCTACACCGGTCCAAGCTCCTTTCTTTCTCTCTCTTCCTTTCCACACTCTTACAATGGCTCACTAGAATTTATAATTTGTGTTTAACTCCCTTTCCTTCCTTCTAAGGTAGGCTAGCTAATTTATATACAAATTATATAATATAAATATTACAAATATCTAATTTTTACATTTACTAACCACCTTCCCAACCATATGGCTTCAATTCCACCCATAAACATTGATGAAATCCTATCCTAATCTCTAATTTCATCATGACATTGGTTTAATACTATTATTATTATGATAACTATTATTATTATTAATAAACTTTTATAATTATTATTATTATTATATTATTATTATTATATACAAATTAAATACTTTAATTAAATAATAATAATTAATCTAAAACATAACCAATAAAAATTTCAAAACTAATCATTATACTATATAGAACATAAATCAATATTACATGCACAAATAAATAAAATTAATTAACTAATCTAACATATATAATTACAAGGTGATTAAATCTACACATTAAAAAAAAAATTAACCTAACACAAAATTAATTTAAATACACTCTTTAAAATTACGGGGTATTACGAGGCCCATCAAAGTCTTGAGAAGCCAACCCTCAAACACCCCCAAGCCTTGGTATCGCACTAGGCCCACCAAGCCTCAAGAAATCTACCCTTGAGCACCCCAAACCCCGGTATCGCACCAGGCCCATCAAGCCTCAAGGAACCAACCCTCGAGCACCCCAAGCCTTGGTATCACACCAGGCCCATCAAGCCTCAAGGAACCAACCCTCGAGCACCAAGCCTCGGTATCGCACCAGGCCCATCGAGCCTCGAGAAACCAACTATCGATCATCCTAAACCAGGGTATCGCACCAGGCCCACCAGCCTCGAGGAGCCAACCCTCGAGCACCCCAACCCATGGTATTGTACCAGGCACATCAAGCCTCGAGGGGCCAACCCTCGAAGCACCCCAAACCTTGGTATTACACCAGATACATCAAGGCTCGAGGAGCTAACCCTCGAGCACCCCAAACCCTAGCATCGCGCCAGGCTTATTAAGTCTCGAGGAACCGACCCTCGATCACCTCAAACTCTGATGCCACACGGGCAGTAGTGCATCAAGAGAATAGAGCCCCAGAGGGCTCGCCGTCAGAATGCTACGGGTTCATACATGACACGAAGTAAAGGTGGGGCCTTCGCGGCTACAGGAACCCAAGTTTGTGAAACTTAGGAGGTTTGTGGATTGGTGGATGAGAAGTCAAAGAAGTGCCTTTGCCCCTAGCAAGGCCGAGTTAACAAGATGATGAGATTACATATACTGTTGCAGCAACCTTTACAATCACATTTTATACAGTGTCGGGATCGACTAACCGGCTGTCAATCAGCATTTAATGCCACAATTGGGATAAAAATAGTTCGGCGACGTGGTGCAAGGCTCGAGGGAAGGATTGGACTTCCTTAGGCTCCTAAACCTTCAAAGTTGCCCACGTGATCCTGACGAAGTCAGGATGAAAGAAACCATTGGACAATGACCGATGGGATCTGAGCCTATAAATAGAACTACCCCATGAAGACAAAAGGGGGCGTTACAATAGAAAGAGATGCTGCCCTACTACCATCTTAATCTTGAGGACTGGTCTTTCTTCTCCTCCTCCGATATCAAGCATTTTCTTTGTTCCCTTCACAGTTGTATCTATGATATCACATTTATTTACTTGTTTATTGTTTTGATCAAAAAATGACCCCTACAGATGGCTGGCCGGTCATCGGATTCAGATGGAGACGGGATGTTGGGGTTGGAGGACTTTAGAAAGCTGATGAAGAATGGTGGAAAGGATGAGAGGAAGGAAGAGCTGAGAGAGGCCTTTAAGATGTATGAGATAGAGGGGACTGGGTGTATTACACCCAAGAGCTTGAAGAGGATGCTGAGTCGACTCAGGAAGTCATCCCCTATGGAGGATTGTAAGCCCATCATCAGTATGTTTGATATCAATGGTGATGGTGTCCTTAACTTTGAGGAATTCACCATCATGATACACTGATCCATCAATCACCATAATTTGCACATATATATGCGTACTCTACTTTTGATTCTTCTAAATACATTCATTTATTTGTAATTTTACTGGAAAATCATACTTTTGGACATTGTTGCCTATATTTATTATTATTTTTAGTTATTAATTGTAATTGTTAATTAGACAGTCAGATTTAACTAAGAGGATATTATTGTAATTTAAAAAATATGATTTTTTGATTTTTTAAATAAAGTTGAATACTATAAGAGTAATTTAGTGGTGGTCCATAGAAATAGAAGAGACGTAATGGAAAAAGCTAAACATGGTTGTTTTGTGTCTTGTCCTTTTCGATGCATCACGGGTAACTTTCTTCTTTCTTTGGGTGATTGGTTATGAACCTTTTAAAAGTCACGTCTTTTTGTTTTTTGTTTTTATGCTCTCAGATAAATGTGTACTATTCCATGATCTGGTTGTTGGATTTGGAATAACAAAAAAAAAAATTTAAATTTTATAAAAAATTATTCGGTAATAAACTTGGAAGATTTAACATAATAGGTATTGTTTAAAACATGGGAAATAATTTTTGTACGGAATAATTACAAACTTGTTCTTTTAATTTGTCAATGTATTCATTTAATTATATTTAATATAAATAATCAATTAAAAATTACTAAAGATATGACTCAAGCTAAATTCTTTGTATGATGATTATTCCAAAATTACAAAAGATCAAAAACAAATACAAATACAAGTATATATTCGTAGTTTCCTTTTATGAATTTGGTTTTCTCAGATATGTTTTGGTTTATAATTTAATCAATAGTAAAATATATCAAATTAATAATAATGGGAAAATATCCATATTCTTTTATTTTCTTTTTTTGAAAAAAGATTACTATAAAAACATTTCTTAAAAAAACAATTCTACCCAAGCTCACCATAATTGCTCGATGTTGTATTTTCTTCTATGTTCGTACATTCCAGTAATCAAAAGAAGAATTAGGAATAACTAAGTATTGTTTAAGGACAAAGAATTCCGATTTCTTTCCTTTTCCAACACCTTTCAAAAACACCAAATAGATTATCGACTACATATATATTAGCTATTTGAGCTAAAATCGCCTTTGAACATTAAAAACTAAGTTTTATTTATAGTCGTGGAGTTTAAAATTTGTCGATTGGTTCGTATTTAACAATTTTTTAGTGTTTTTTTATAGAAATAATAATAATAACAATAAAAGAAGAAATTAACAGCTTAATTCTTAGCATGAAACTGAAAAGAAAAAAAAAAAATTTTGAACATTAATTTTAACTAAGTTTTATTATAGCTATGTTTGACAGTATCATATCCACATCTTGAATTTGTAGAAATTTTTAATTGAATTTTTTCCAATTTCAATTCTAAAACACGGATTCTAAACTTAACATAAGAATTTCTACATACAAAATTTAAAAGGTGTATAACACTTCAGCCAATTCTACCAAGCAACCCAATCTCTACAAAAACACCATAAAGCAATAGTAGACAAATGTGATTATGCAAGTGGGAACTTCAAACAAAGAGAAACACAAAAACATTCACTACTAAAAACAATATAGATATATAGAAAACGCCAGAAAGGAAGACATTCTTCATTAGAGGGTAAATACACAGTCTCGATCTATCACAATCTAATATATAAGTAAAGAATTAAATAAAACTTTACACATTTACTTTCATGTCGAATTATAATTGACTTAGACCATATAATTTTGAACCATATAATAATTGCTCATTAGGCAATTTTAAAAGATGCAAAAGTGTAATTATAATACAACAATAGTAAATATTAGGCCATTCAACTTGTAAAAATTATTTAAAAAAATGTATATAAACTACAAAATCTATAAACTTTTAATAGTAGTAGAGAGAAAATATAGATATAGATATAGATATAAAGGAATAAAAATAAATTTGATACATCTTAGGGGTCCTTAAAAACCCAACAGATTTTGGGCTCATATAGTTGTTACCTCTTGCTTCCAAATTTTTGCAGAAAATTCCAGGCCCATACAAAGAGAAAAGCCCACGCAACTCCTAGGTAGATTCAAAAAACAGGCTACTCGGGCTTCTCGTTCCCGATTATATATGTAAGATCACATTTGGGCTAAAGAAGCCCAAACAAAACCCATAGGACAGGTGTGTCTCTAGATAACAATTTTTTCATTTTTTAATCTTTATTATTCAGTGTTCTTAAACAAAATAAATAGTCCTGAAAATGTTTTTATACATTTCACAACTTAATGAACGAATATCAAACACACTAATCTCATTATATCATTGGTTAATTATCATTCTTTTATTCATTATACAGTTATTCTGAAATTTAATTCAGAATAACAGGTGATCCAACATATTTTTGTTCCACACAATTACACGTGCATTTGCCTGGTATACAAATAACAGAAATGCAATTCTTAGGATCACAATGGCTCCAATAATAATTATCACATTGCCACCCAAACACACAGTCTGGTAAGGGTCCGATTTTGGCTGGGTAGCCCGCAAACTTGGATGGGTTTGGGTGGCCCCATTGCTCCACTTTTAGCTTTCTTGTTTCAGCTTCCAAACCAAAAACTGCTAATTTTCATCACACAAAGATAGTTAAAATCAGTAACTCGACCTTGACACATGAATGTGAGTTTCGGTGGCGACATATACATGTATAATCGTGAAAATTAGTTTGTATAAAATGTGAGAATATTTTTTTCTAAAAGTAAATTAACAAGAGATAAAAGAAAATGATGATGATGTTGATGAGAAACTCAATTATTGTATAATGTTCAACATTTTATCTATATATCTATAATCCATTTAGAGAGAGAGAGAGAGAGGGAAAGAGATTACCAAATGCAGCCAACAAGACTACGGCTAAGAAAGCCAATTTGGGTGGAGTTTTCTTCATATTCTTGGTAGTGTTGCAATGATAAGATACGATTGGGATTTATGATTCTCTCTTTATACTCCAACAATGAGACTTTATGCTAAAGATTTTTAAGGGTTAACCAAAAGAGAGATAGACAGATTGGTTGAGGGTTAACTAGGAGAGAGAAAAAGAGAAAGGACAGAGAAGAGAGAGAAAAAACTTTGATTTGTTTTCTTACTTGCAAATGATTTTTTTTTAATTAATTATATTTTCCAAATCTCAAAATAGTGTGACTTACAAACGCGAGCTCATTAGACTTTCTGCGAGAGCTCAATAACACTACTCTTAAATTTATAAGCAATTCATACTCCCTCCATTTCAAATTAATAAGTAATCCATCTTTCCACCAAGGGATGTTCGGTATTAGTTGTCCAAAATAATGCTATCTTCATATATATAATTACCCTTTGAGTTTTTAAAAATCTCAAAACCTAATAATATAACTATTAAAAACTTAAAATGATAATTTGGTAATTTTAAACAACAATACATTAATTACATGTCCCATTAAAATATCTTAATAAAAAAAGTAGACAATTAATATGGGTTTGAGGGAGTATTAATTTTATCTTTGTTGAATATTTTATCCACATAAATGTGCAAATTTTGAAATATATCTCTATCCACATAAATGTGCAGAACAATTATTTACTCCCTAGATGCCGTATTACTAGTCCCATTTCCTTTTAAGAGTGTCCAAATTAATTTTTCATGTAAAAAGTCAAAGCAAAACAAATACTATCTTTCCAAAATAAATAATGATTCAGAGACCGAATTCAACCCTTACCGAAATCAATTTATCCTCATGAAAAATAATGATTTAAGACCTAATTTGTCAGTTACCAAATTCAATTGTCCCCTAAATCACTACTTTTCCGTAATAACTGTCTAAATTTTCAAAATCATAACGCTAAGTAATACAAAGTACATATTAATAAATTTATATCCTGATTTTAGTATTTCAATCAGATGCCATATTGCATACTCATCAATGCCATCAATCAATTATATTATGTCACATAAATAAAAGGGCATTTATTTCACTAACATTTTAATAAAAAATTATTTGGTTAAATGCTCTAACACCCCTGGGGTTTGGACTTACTGGTTTAATATTAAACCTCATTTTTGCTATCACACTCCTTTCAGATTTAGTTTATATTGTTGTGACATTCTTCTGTCAAATTAATAAAATATAATACCTAAATTACCCTTCATGGTTTCATGTACATGTTTACTCTTAATTTTTTAGACATTTATACCCTCACATATTATTTCAATTCACGTGTCTACTTGGTTGCTGACCTTATTTTTTTTACCACAAATACCACCACCACCGCCATTCTCCTTTCATCTCCTTTCATCCTCTCCATTTGCAATCTTCTCAGACTCCCAAATCTCCCAACTCCCTTTATGTACACATGTATATGTATATATGTATATATGCACACGCATTGTGATTAAATGGTGACAATTGATCTAAGAAGTGGGTTCTGCAAATCAAACACCAGCCCATAAATTTACCTTCCAATCACTCCCTCGACGTCATCACATTCATCTCCTTGCGTCCCCACCACGGCTACACCGCCACCGGCCAGCCGCTTTTTCTTCGAATCAACCGGTCTGGACTGCCGTTGATTCCATCGCTCCATCTCCCTCCGCCATTGAGATTCGCAAAGGCCACGTCGTCATCTTTCTGCCCCAAAAAATTTATCAATTTTTTTTTTTTTTGTTCTGTTCATAACAAGGGTTTGAGAAAATATTCTTGATTTGGGCTGTTTGTGAGTATAATTTAGGGTTCGTTTTTGTTTCGCCCCCTTTCATTACTAAATTGGACAGAAAATTAGTGATTTTGGTTCTTCAACGCAGCCCGTCTTCACCACCACTGCCACAAGGCAGACCAATCCATTGGAATATTAAATTTTTTTTTTCCCAAAAATTGATTGGAATATGAATTGACAGTAAACAAATGAATTAAAAGATTTCATTTTTTTCACTCTCTCTCTCTCTAATCTTTTGATGGTTTGCTCAAAGAGAAGGAATGGAGAGAGGAAATGGATGGAAGAGAAGATCACAACCATTCCCCTCCTTGATATTAACATGGGGCCTGGTGTTTTCTAGTCCCTACGCACCCTT